GGCAGGGCTAACTCACAGATCAAACCCTGAAACAACCTTTGGGCTGATCTAAGTCAGGGCAGGGCTAACTCACAGATCAAACCCTGAAACAACCTCTGCGCTGATCGACGTCAGGGCACGACCAAAACTCAGAAATCAATTGCAATTTAGTTTGGTATGGATTGAGGCGGAGGAAGGAAAATTGAAAACCCTACGAACAATTCTATAATTAAGAAAGAGACCTAACAAATTCTACTCACATGTGAGGCGTGAGGCGAGTGCTCTACACCAACCTTCATTCTTGTGGGCTTAGGGAGCTTGGCGACAAAAGTTTTAGTTTCAATAAAAAGAAAATGACTAGTGGGTACTAGTTGGAGTAATCTGCGTCAATAATCTACAATATTTTATTAACAAACCCTCTTTGCTCTGGCACAACGTTCAGTTTCCCTGGCATTTCAGACCACGTGTCATTCCCTAGAGTATCTTCGTTTAACGGTTGCGCATGAGAATACACTATATGGATACAACTCAAACAAAGAATCTTATTCTCAAGAGAATGACATGTGGTCTGAAATAGACCTAATCCACTGTTTTCCCATTTCAGACCACGTGTAATTCCCTAGAATATTATTTCTTTATTTACCGGTTGCGCATGAGAAGACACATGAATATGGATACGACTCAAACAAAAGGAATGACACGTAGTCTGACATTGGAAATCATTGTTCTGAAAGGTTTATGGAGCGGTTATCGTAGAAGAGGGAAACAATAACGAAAATTCGTAGTCGTATACACAGCCCCGCATGAATGAATGAATGAATGAATGAGCGAGCGAGCGAGTGAGTGAGTGAGTGAGTGAGTGAGTGAGTGAGTGAGTGAGTGAGTGAGTGAGTGAGTGAGTGAGTGAGTGAGTGAGTGAGTGAGTGAGTGAATGAAAGAATTATTCTATTCTTTAACTTCTAACGAAAATTGGTAGTCTTGCACAGCCACGTGCTAAGATTAAGAAAGCCTTCATGCTACTCTTGGCGCCTGGTTGGCAAATCATGAACCACTTCGAATAAATTTGTTTTCCAGCTGAACAAGGACCAAGACCTCGGGGCTTCATTACCGGAAAACGGACGCCTCTAAGATTTAATATGGACATTTTAAAGCCCCATCAAACATAATTAGCAGTATTTACTCTTAATATAACAATTAGAACAAAACTACCTCAAAGAAACCGAAGATAAATCTGTTTGTTAAGATGTTAAAGATTAGGGCGAGATAAGTTAATTATGGCATGAACAGATAAGTAGTTTTCATTTGGAATCAATTAGCGTGGAGTGTAGAACACCTAGAATGTTAATGAGGCATGCTTCGCACGTAAGGCATGTAAGTACAGGAATACCCATTTTTTTATTTCAGAGCAAGTGCCCTTCTCTTGAGAATAAAATTCTTTGTTTGAGTTGYATCCATATTCATGTGTCTTCTCATTCGAAACCATTAAACAAAGAAACGACACTCTAGGGAATAACACGTGGTCTGAAATGGGAAAAAATCACACCCAAGGCAAATAGGTACATTATTTTTCCATTTCAGACCACGTGACATTTTCTTGAGGATAATATCAAAGGCTATACACGCACGCGCCTACACGCAACACCATGAACTATTCGTAGCACACAATAAACAAGACATTTTTGACACTTTTTCAACTCATTTTTCAAGCGCAGCTTCGAAAAGTCAATACAGTATCGAAGAAAAAATGAAGTTGGTGTGGGACTCGATTGGGTCAGTGATCGCGTGCAGAGAGTAGTACATTTACTGCGTTGATAAACTAATTGAAGTATGGTATCTATCAAATCTACATCGCTTTTTAAACGATCTGTGAATGAGAGTGAGAGAGACACCGCTTGATTCAAGTAGCTGATATTTACTTATTGTTTACTGAGAGAATGATCTCGTGCGCTGGTTAATTGGATTTGATTTGATATTAGTGCTTTTGACGAGGCTGATATGGCACCAAGCAAAGACACGTGTGCATGGAATTAATAATAGTAATACTTCCAAATATTTCCGCTAACAAGAGTCCATTTATTTCAATAAATAAACCTTGATTTTTTGGGTAGATCTACACTTATGCGTTTCACCGAAACGGAGCTCCGACTTTAATTATGCAAAATCATCATCTGCGCATGCGAGAAACAGACGTGYCGGTATGAATGACGTCAGCGTTTTTACTGTTGATGCAAGGTATGATTTCAGCAGAGACTTTAAGATTTGCAAAATCTACGACGGCGACGTCAACCGGAAGTGTAAATAACTTCTCTTTGGGGTTCTGTTCATTGAAGATTTCATTTAAAACATTGTCAGTAAAGTCAACTCATCCAAAAGAAAGACAGACTTTGGAGGCGCCCGGACCCTAAAGTGAAGTTATCTACACTTCCGGTTGACGTCGCAGTCGTAGATTTTGCAACTCTTAAAGTCTCTAGTATGTCTTAGGTCGCGCTACGTTCACAAGTGTACATATTAGCCATTCTGAGGTTAAGAAAAAACTGAGTCGAGTTGTCATTACAGTACATTGTGAGCGCGGGTTCTATTTTAAAGGACGAATAAGACGCCATTTTGGAAATATGTCCACATTTTGTTCCCATGCTTAAATTTTCCCTTGTCGACAAAATGTCAGTTTCAACCACAGCTAAACCAGTCTTAATTTTCTCCGCTGACTTCGGTGCCAGTCCACACTCCACAAAGTCAGAATCTCCCGTATGTTTTTTTCTTTTTGAAAAACATTTTTCCTTTTTTGCACCAACCAAAGGCACCAGGAAACCTACCACAGACAAACCATTTTAAGTTTTTCTCCAGAGGCTTCGGCACCAGCCCATACTCCAATCGTCACAGCATTTTTTTATGAGAAAAGACTTAAGTCTGAACCTACCAAATCCATCTACCACAGGTAGACCAATCCTATTTTTTCTTCAGCAAATGCAAAGTAGCATTAGGTACCAGTCCACACTCCTGTAAGGTCGAGTTAAGGTTACTGTAGACTTTGTTTGGAAACGAAGATTTGATTTGGTAGTTGGAGGCTTCATTTGGTCTAGCGAAAGAAAGTTTATTTTTTAGAGTTAACTCGCTATTTTATGATGAGTAAGCAAGTGGAAAGGGTATGCTTGTGAAAAAATGTTTAATTGTTTTAGACTGTTTTGTTTATATAGTAATAAGTTATAAGTTTACCAAACTAAAAATGGATTGGACGGAGATGGAAAGAGTTGATTTTTGAGGAATCCTTCAGTGCTATTTGACGTGAATCGTTCAGTATTGAAGTAAATTAGCTTCATTCATGTTTCGGAAGAAGTGTAAAATCGTTAAGAGGAGTTAGTAAAGTAAGTATAGTTCATTTAACAATGCACGTAGGCACAAGAAAATCACCTAGGAAAGACACACTGATAGGCACACAGGGTATAACGGATAGTGAAACAGATAGACAGCAAACACACACTATGGCCTATAGATCCACATACCCTAGCCATTCTCCTAACCTAGTCTCATTCAGAAATGTTCCTATTTCAGCCACTGTTTGATTTCATTTACGACGAACAATAGAAATTACCGCGATATGTTAAAGATTTTAAATGGCCACGAACAGAGTGAAAGCGTACTCTTAAGGCCGGTTTAGACAGTACGATTTTCGCCTACAACTATCGTATACAACACGCTCGCGTCTGTCGTAGGCGAGTTGTAGGCTTGATTTACACGCTACGACTCGAGTTGTGGGATGGCGGGAGCGTCTTGTATACGATAGTTGTAGGCGAAAATCGTACCGTCTAAACCAGCCTTTAAACATGCACATGCAATTTGAAAGTCGAACACGCAAGTAATTCTGAATAGACCATTTAAGCTTAGGCATATCTTCCAAAAGTCATACATAGCATCTTTAGCCTATTCACTTTCGAACCAAAATGTTAAAACATGTATGAAATTTTTCAGTTTGTCAAACAGTCCCACTCGTGTTAAGCTTAAAGATGGCGTACTTGGTTAACTCGTACACAACAATCCTACGATATTGTAAGAACGACATGCGTAATAAAACCATGAATAGACTAATAAGGTTTACCTGACGAGGTCGAGGTGTTTTCTAAGGTCTGCTATGGTATCGCTGAAGCTCATCTTTAGGATGTAAGTCTGGGCCAAAATACAAAGAGAAAATTCGAGGGCATTAGTGATAATATTATCAATTTACCTATTTCACTATGACGTCACTTCATTTTAAGGGCAAAACAAAAGAATTTCAATCTACCGAGAATTGGAAACCCATTGTTATGTCCTCCAAATTGAGCTGAATTCCGACGTGCTGCAAGGGGTCTATTACTGCCAGGTACCAATTAGGGAGGGGAGGGTGGAGCGTATATTTGGGAACACTACCTTTTCTCCTGTCTCGGATTTTATTCTTAATGTGGCAATTTTAGAAGTAGCAGATTTGGGTCTGTCGGGATGTTTGTCGCTTTCTTCCGCTCTTGAAGCAAACAAAAGAGAATGCACGATTAATTTGACTGTAACCAATTTAATGGCATTATAGTGCGAAAAGTTTTGGAGAAAAGAAAAACATGAGAACCTGGAGAAGAATCCCTCGAAGCCAGGAAGAGAACCAACAAACTCATCACATTTGACACCAAGTCCGGGAATCAAACCTGGGTCTTAGTGGAGAGAGGCGATCTTATCGCTATGCAACCCATGTCTACAAAATATAGTCTGCGTAGCGGTGCTTTAGGTTATTTTCCCTCTCTCTCTCTTCCCTCTCCCCCTTCCCCAATCCCCTAGAGCGCCGCGACACAGGCTACCCAAAATATGATGACTGTCATGAATGGGATCCCCTACAAAAACATCCATAAAAATATCTACTATTGCTATAGCAACAGGCGTGGTATACAGAAGAGATAACTAGCTAAAAGCTAGCGTGACCTGGCATGGTATACCTTGATTTGATATCCTCTAGAGCTGGTGTGTTCACTACAACAACACTGGATGGCAGTCCATTGGTACCCTGTGGGGAAAATACAAGTTTAGATTCAATTGATGGTTTTCAACCATTCCCAAGGGAATTAAATAACAAAAGACACGGCGGCCATGTTGGAGGATATAACAAAAGAATTCATTGACAATTCTTTTKTTAAGTTCCTCCAACATGGCCGCCGTGAAAGCCATCAATACATGGGCACTCTCTGATATAAGCAATGGTTCCAATGTGCACGAGCAAATCACGATGGGAAACCTTACCAGTACTTGGGCTTTTTCAGCTCCTCTAAAAAATCACCAGCGCGAATTTTGCACCATTTATACATACTAGGCTGCTAATCAGCGTCCTGGTTTATACGGTCAGGTCCCATGTTATGTAAGACACATCTTATTTTTACCCATATTTAAATGGCCCTAATTGTTCTCATTGACCCCCTCCCCCTCCTTCCCATTTTATTACTGACAATTGTTTCCTTGTTTGTTTATTCTTTAGTTTGGGTCCCGTGATACAAGGAAAGACCTGGCTAATGTACCTTGATAGTTTCTTCTACTCCAGCCCTAACATCAATAATTTTACCACCTTTGATCACAGATTGAGGTAGTCTGGATAGAAAATTGTCCATGGAATGTTTGGGGCCTGAAATGAGAAAGAAATGAAAACAAAGAAACTTAAAAACTAATGATAATTTTCAGTGCTGATGGGCATGATCGTTGATGATGATGCTGATAAGAATGATGTCACTGATCAGGTAGTGATTACGATGGTACTTAGGAATCCAGCTGAGTTGACCTTCAGAACAAAATCAAGGTCAACCAATCGAAATTGAGGATTAAGCATCATATTAGTGGAGCCAATCAGAAAACAGCAGAAAACAATAGCCTTTGAACATATCTTTTTATTCCTAAGAGATAATGACGATTCTCGTGCAGTCTAGGTTTCTGATTGGCTCCACTACCCAGACGGCTTACCGCCTCATCTATCATGTACTACATCGTGGGATTCTACCAGCTCACTAGATACACCATGCTGACGAGGCCAAATACAGGCCGAAACAGCTGTCCATGGTTTCTAGTTGAGCTGGCTCGTATTTTACGCAACTTGAACTTGTGAAAAGCCCATTGGCCCTCTTCTTCAGTCGTTTCATACAAGGCTCGTAATTTACCTATTACGCATGTTCTTATATGATTTCCCAGCCCATCCCACACGGCTTACCGCCTCATCTATCATGTACCCAAAGTTGGGATGCATTGTTTTCGTTCTACATTTTAATTGGTTCTCTTGTTTAACTGTGTAAGTGGCCCCGGTTACAGTAGTTGCATGTTGCACTGTGAATTCTAAATATTTTCCATCTCAAGGGGGGAGGGGGGGGTATTACTAGCCACCAAATCCACCCTCTGGATCTGCCCTTGTATTCGTGTACCTGGTATTTCCTTGGTAACCTTCACATCTTGCCCATCATTCGTTAAACTTTGTCCAGCACCAGGAAAAAGAAGTTCTGTTCTTTTATCTGAATACACAACATCTCTCTTGTCATCGATCTGTTCATGGTCAAACAGTACATATATGTTAATTAACTGGCCAGGAAGTCCGGATAGGGAAAACCTGTGTCCCAGGTCTTGAGTATATAGATTGGGGCCGTTTGCCTGCAGTACCCTTGGGCAGCAGTAGCCAGCCTTGGGCAGCAGAGCCAGCCTTGGGCAGCAGTAGCCAGCCTTGGGCAGCAGTAGCCAGCCTTGGGCAGCAGTAGCCAGCCTTGGGCAGCAGTAGCCAGCCTTGGGCA